CACCCGTATAACACGCGTCCTATTTTTATATGGAAAAATGTTGTTTCTTATAGTATCGAATATTTATCATATTTTCGAACTGCATTACAGTCTTACCATATACTTCAAAACGTGGAGAATAAATAATAGTTTTGACTACTAGTATTGGTTATTGTGTTGTGCAATATCCATTGGATATTGGTATGCAAATTGTTGGTAATATTCATTATATATTGGGATACAAACTATAAATTATTAATTGTATCAAAATCACAAATTTTTGATACAACCTTACTAATTTGCTATGAATTTATTATAAATGTTAGTCAATTTTCTTAATGACTAGATGGAGAATTGTTTTTGCGGGTTAATCCGCGACCCAACCGCACCCATCCGTCACCCACCCAACCCAACCCACATAAGTATGTGGGTGGATTGCGGGTCACATGCATTTCAATCCGCTAGTAAGCAGGTGAGTCAATTTTAGACCAAAATCCACCCAATCCGCCCATTGCCCACCCCTAATTGATGAACCGTCACAAAACTCTTCGCTTCTTTCACCTTAATACTCATCGAAGAGGCACTAACATCTATACTTTGTTGTTGTCTTCTCAAAAGTAAGCATCTTTAACCTTCTTTTAATTGAATTGAATATTGTTCGAATTATCGATTTGTATCTAGTTTTTTCTTTGACTTTTCTTGGAGTCGAGAACCTACTCATATCTATACTTCATTAGCTTTCTTTCTTAACCGCATCATATTCTCTCTTAACCATAAGTTTTTTCATACTCTAAATCACATCTTTTTCTTTTCCTTAACCACATTGCATTACCTAAATCGGTCCCACTAATTAACCCGACAAACCCAAAACACCAACAGAGAGAGAGAGACGGAGGCCGTCGAGCTTTGAAGCTTGCCTTACCACCATTAGCACCAAGCCAAATACCGCCTCCAGTTTCCCCCTTCTCCTCTCTCCTCCCAACCCAACCCAAAAGAAAAAAAAAAAAAAAAACCCCAGCAAGTAGCAGCGTAGGCGGCCAGAGCATCTTCATCCCTCTTCCCAGTTCCCACTATCTCCTCCAGATCTCTCTCGCTTTCTCTGGAAACCTTTTTGGGTTCAGAGAAATCGGAAGCCAACCCAAAGCTCAAAGCCGCTTTTCCTCGGCTCACTTTTTATGGCTATGGTTCTTCCTTGAAACCCGGAAACCGGAAAGCAAGGAGATTTTCCCGCCGCCCCGAGTCAAAACTCCCTCAATCTCTATCGACTCCAGTCTTTATTTATGGGGTGCTGCGAATCCTGCTTGACCAAGCCGCCGAGCTCTTCCGACGTCAAACCCAGCGTCCACGGCAGCAACCAGACCCACCACCGCCAGCCGACCAACGGCGCCGCTTCCCCCTCCGCCACCGCCGGAGGCGTCCCGGCGTTCACCGAGTTCTCGCTCGCCGACTTGAAAGCGGCGACCAACAACTTCAGCGCCGATTTCATCGTCTCTGAGAGCGGGGAGAAGGCTCCGAATGTAGTGTACAAGGGACGTTTGGGGAACAACAACAACAACGGCGGTGGTACTAATGACGATAAGAAGAATAGCGATCGGGGCTGGATCGCCGTCAAGAAATTCACTAAAGTCGCCTGGCCTGATCCCAAGCAGTTCGCTGTAAATGGGTCTTTCCTCTCCTTTCCATTTCTGTGATTTAGGGTTTTGTTAGTTTTTTGCTGTTGTTGACTGTTGGCTTGATTTTGTTCCACAGGATGAAGCGTGGGGAGTTGGAAAGTTAAGGCACAAGAGGTTGGCTAATTTGATTGGTTACTGCTGCGATGGCGACGAGAGGTTACTTGTGGCAGAGTACATGCCCAATGATACTCTAGCTAAGCACTTGTTCCACTGTGAGTTCTTCCATTAATGGCAACTTTGTGAGCTTTTGCTCCTTTTTGATTGTGTAAGTTGAAACGTTAGCTGTATTTGGGGAGTCTAGATTGTGTATATTGGGTAATGAGGTAAAGTAGGTTCTTTTAAGAAATAACAGTGGTTGCTTTTCTTAGTTTGGCCCTATTGATTGCTCCAATGAGGAATCACAATCTTAGAGTTGCTAATTTATGGTAACATCACTGAAGGATTTCGTATGATTTTATCGGTGCTATAAATATCGATTCTGATGAGGGTTGTGTTTGCTGACTGGAATTCGTGGCCTATGTATGTAATGGTCCCTGGTTGGAGTCATTTGCATTTATTGGTTTTATGCTTATGTGGGAAATTAAAGTAGCGAGGTTATGTGTGGAAGAAGGTTGCTATGTAAAGCTAAACCAGATTGGATTGTTTTCTATGCAGCTTATTGCTTGGTTCTTTATCAATGTGTCTTATCTCTTATGTCAATTGAAGTCGTCAAAATCAGTCCCAGTTAGTTAATTGGCTTCACTGTTGGTGGGATGAATTACTTCATGTTTTGCATGTGTGATTAGGATCTCATTTCGCTTTACTATATCAGGGGAAAATCAAACCATTGAGTGGGCTCTGCGCTTGAGAGTTGCTTTGTACATGGCAGAAGCTTTAAATTATTGTAGTGCTGAAGGTCGTCCACTGTACCATGACTTGAACGCTTATAGGGTTCTGTTTGATGAGGTAACTGTGAAGACTTGTCTCTCCCATGAGCTTGATTCCCATGACTGCTCTGAACCTTTGCGCGACTTTTCGTAAAAATTAATGATGCATACTTTTTTGGCAGAATGGAGATCCCCGACTATCATGTTTCGGACTGATGAAAAATAGTAGGGATGGGAAAAGCTACAGCACCAACCTTGCTTACACACCCCCTGAGTATTTGAAGAATGGTAAGTTCATTGCTTTGTGGGGAAAAACCTTGCAAAGTATTAAGTCATTCCTGATATTCTGATTTCTATGTACTTTCCACGAACTTAAATAATTGCCTTTATTTTTCGCTAGCTTGTGATCTCTGTAAGTTCTTTATTTGAATGGGAAAAATTCTAGATATTTCATGATATAATCTTCACATTGATGTAGGTAGAGTCACCCCAGAGAGTGTTGTCTTCAGCTTTGGTACTGTGCTTTTAGACCTTCTCAGTGGAAAGCATATTCCTCCTAGTCATGTAAGTTCACTTCTTAATTGATTATCTATAAATGCTGTGTCATGCCAATTCATTCCATGGAGCTTGAAGTTTTGATATATTCATTCCTGCGTGTTTTGGTCCTAAGAATCTAAGAGCATATGCAGGCTCTTGATATGATACGGGGCAGAAACATCCTTCTCTTAATGGATTCACATCTGGAAGGGAACTTTTCTACCGAGGAGGCAACTGTAGTCTTTGATCTAGCCTCACGATGCTTGCAATACGAGCCTAGAGAGCGGCCAAACACCAAAGATCTCGTTGAGACACTTTCCCCTCTACAGAATAAGTCTGATGTAAGACATATCTTCTCAATTTCATGATCCTTTTCACCATGACTCAATCCTATGTAATCCAAGATAGGTAGCCTTTCTCTTTTGCCGAGGGCTTCATCAACTGGTGGAAATTTAGCTAATAGTTGTCCTGCTATCCTAGTGTGGAATTTTTCTGTAACTATCACAGGTCAGTATGAGAGTTCTTGAGCTAATAAGTTCTTTTATATAGATTCCTTCTCACGTCATGCTGGGAATATCGAAGCAAGAACAAGCACCACCGACACCACAACATCCTCTTTCTCCCATGGGCGATGCCTGCTCACGAATGGACCTGACGGCTATACATCAGATATTGGTAATGACGCACTACAAAGATGATGAAGGAACCAATGAGGTGAGCAATTGCAGGGGAAAACAATGTTGTTGATACTTTGTTGCTGCAGGGAAGGACTGAGATATGTGTTTCTATGCAGTTGTCTTTCCAGGAATGGACGCAACAAATGAGAGACATGTTGGAAGCTAGAAAGCGAGGAGATGTTGCATTTCGTGATAAAGAATTCAAAGCTGCTATAGACTGCTACTCTCAGGTGCGCCAGTTGTTCCCATTGTAGGCCGAGTACATCTAAAATTGCTTGCTGCTAAGGAATGTCGTCTCTGTAAGAAAGAAAAAAGAAATATACTGTTTGTTTCAACCAGTAGATCAGTAGAAGTTGACTTTTTAGTGTTCAGTAGGAGAAGTTGAAGCACGTTTGTTTTAGAGCCGAGAAGTAACTTAGACAAGAAATTCTGAAGAAGTAACTTTCAGAAGTTACATAATTTGAAGCATTTGTGTTTGATTGGAGAAGTTGGCTACTTAATGTTCGGTAGGTGACTAGTAGTTGAAACAAACGGAGCCTTTGAGATCTATAAACTAGTGGGAATTTCATTACGAGTCTATCCGTGAAATTTGTTCTCTTTTCGTTGCAGTTTGTAGACGTGGGAACAATGGTTTCCCCAACGGTGTACGCACGGCGGAGTCTCTGCTACCTGCTCTGCGACCAACCCGACGCAGCCCTACGCGACGCGATGCAAGCGCAATGCGTGTACCCGGACTGGTCAACTGCGTTTTACATGCAGGCTGTAGCACTAGCTAAGCTGAATATGCACAAGGACGCAGCGGACATGTTGAACGAGGCAGCTACTCTGGAGGAGAAGAGACAACGCAAATGATCTTGAGGATGGATGGGACATGATTGTGTGTTGTGGTGGGTTGATGATTGTAGAACTGTGTAAATTACATTTTGGTTTAGGATTTGGGGTCTTTGGACCTGTGGCTGGGTAACTCTCTGTTGTTTATTGGTTTGTTGTTGTAGCCTTGTAATGGAGGGGGTGTTCAAAGTGTGTAAATGGCCAAATGTTTTTATTTTTGGGAGGGAAAGGGTGGAAGTGATTTCAATGTTCAGAATTGTAAAATATAGAGTGGGAGAGAGGAAGGGCAGAGAATATGATTCTTGGGGTTACACTTGCTGTTCTTCATTTTTCATATTTAACAAGTTATCAAATAATCTCTTGTTAGTTGTTTCTAAATTTTATCAAAAATTTCTTGTCCGAATAAAATTGGTTTGTGGAAACGTACTTGAAATACCAGTCTATTAAAAAATTTCTTGTCCCGTTAAACATCTTTCGTCAAAATTTACTTATAAAACTGGTACGGATTCAAATGTCACCAGGGTCACTTTTATTGGTCAATGGAAGAAACTTCACCAGTTCACCTTCAAGGGATCAGCTACCCACTTCTTCAAGTAACATTTTATACATAGATCCACTGCCTAATGCCTACTACATCCTCTCCATAAACAGGGGAAAGGCCAGAACTTTTCGTTTTACATGTACACGTGTGTTAACAATACAATTCATTTTCCAAAACTTACAAAATACTGTGGCGTCTAGCTTAATCAATCAAGAAACATAGAGCTCAGCTTTTCCGTCGATGAACAGGCTCATGAATTCTTCCCCATCCACAGTTTCTTTTTCGATGAGCAGCTGAGCCAGCTTGTGTAGGATGTCGATGTGTGTCGTCATGATCTCCTTCGCCCTCGCGTAGGCCGTCTCCACCAGCTCTCTAACCTCTGCGTCCACCACGTCGGCAGTGGCCATCGAGTAGTCTTTCTGTGACGCCATCTGCAAAATCGAACATTGTGATCGGGAGGTGGGGAAATGAGTTATGGTTTTGGTTGGTATTTACAAATAGTTGTTTTAGTAGTTTGGTTAAGCGAATTTCCTAATCCGAATCCTCAGATATCAATCGTTACCAAGCAATGCAGCAAACAGTATGCACAGACAAAGATTGATGATGTTGCAAATCTATCTAACAAACCAACCTGTTGCCCTAAGAATGGATTTCCACCGGCTCCACCAATGGCCACTTGCCCGATTTTCTTACTGAACCCGAATCTCTCAACCATCTGCCTTGCCACCCTCGATACTTGCATGAAGTCATTTGATGCTCCCGTAGTCACATTCTCTTTCCCAAAAATCACCTCTTCAGCAACCCTTGATTTACAACCGAAGTACAAACCGTCGTCAGCATACCACCTTGAGCACAATAAAACATAATCCGTAAAGGTCAGAATGAAATACTACCTTCCTCCGAGTGCCACGGCCATCTGATTCTCCAAATAGCTTCTGCTGTATAGTCCAGATTCCAGACGCTCCTCACTTGGAGCGAAGAATGTAAGCCCACCAGCTTGTCCTCGTGGGATGATCGAGATCTTGGCCACTGGATCATACTCGGGCATTAGAGCACCAACCAAGGCATGTCCAGCCTCTGTAAAACAAAAGGCCTAATGTCAGCATTACAGTTTACCAAATTAGCAAGGGAAATTTGATAAGCTGAATGATATTGAGGTCCATTTTATACCATGATATGCGACTAACTTCTTCTTCTCTTCCGAGACCACAGCATTTTTCTTCTCTGGTCCAGCTATAATCCTCTCCAAAGCATCGGATATCTCGTCTTTGCTTATTTCCTTAAGATCACGCCTGGCTGCAAGAATGGCTGCCTCGTTCATAAGATTCTGCAGATCGGCACCAGTGAAACCAGGTGTTCGCCGCGCCATCTTCTCAAAGTCCACATCTTTAGCAAGTGCCTTCCCTCTCGAATGCACCTACAATACCATTGTCAATGGTAAATTAAATCAAATATGTCAATGAAGTAATCTTAAGAATTCAGCTTCCTATGACCTACTAAATCTCCCTTCAAATCTTCCCTCTAGAATCTAGATCACAGCAATATACTAAACGTCAATGAAATTCACCATTGCCAACTGCATACCAAATCCAATGTCCTCAAAACAATCTAAATTCGACCCTACGAATGCATTGATCTTCCTAGCATCTATAATTTATTTCCTCGCAAATCAAGTTAGGTCAAATTCACAGAAAACCAAAACTAACCTGAAGAATCTTCACTCTGCCAGCAACATCAGGCCTATCAACAGTCACCTGTCGATCAAACCTTCCTGGCCTCAACAATGCTGAATCAAGAACATCCGGCCTATTCGTAGCAGCCAAAACTATCACACCCGAATTCCCTGAAAACCCATCCATTTCAGTAAGCAACTGATTAATAGTTTGCTCTCTTTCATCATTTCCACCACCCATTCCTGCTCCCCTCTGCCTTCCCACAGCGTCAATCTCATCAATAAACACAATGCAAGGGGCTTTCGCCTTCGCCTTCTCGAACAAATCCCTCACTCTGGAAGCTCCAACTCCCACGAACAGCTCAACGAACTCGGAAGCAGCGCAGGAGAAGAACGGAGTTCCTGCTTCTCCGGCTACTGCTCTGGCCAGTAGTGTTTTCCCTGTACCAGGAGGCCCGACTAAGAGACACCCTTTGGGGATCTTAGCTCCAAGAGCAGTGTACTTATCAGGGTTCTTAAGAAAATCCACGACCTCTTGGAGCTCCAATTTGGCTTGATCGGCGCCGGCCACGTCCGCGAACGTGACTCCGGTTTCGGGAACTTCCTGGAACTTGGACTTCGACCGCCCAAAGTCCATCGGCCCGCCCAACCCGCCGGGTCCACCCGGCCCGCCTTGCGCTCGGCGGAAGAGGAAGAACAATCCAGCGAAGGCGAGGAATGGGAAGATGAGATTGCCGATGATACTGAACAGTCCGTTTCCTGAATCGCCCTCGGATACCGAGATATCGACGCCGTTCATCGCTAGAATGTCGATTAGGTCAGGATCGGCTGGGACGATGACGGCAGCGCGGCGGCCATCGACGGCGGTCAGTTGGAGGGCAGACCCGTCTTTGCTGAACCGAACCCGCTCCACTTTCCCCTTCTTCACCGCGTTCAGAAACTCGCTGTACCGCCATTGGCTTCCCTCGGGAAGGTCGGAGGCGACGGATTGAGATTGCGGCTTCGGAGCAGTAAGAATCAGGTTTTGGGAAAAGGGGGAATTCGGAGAAGAGGGTTGTTTGCTTGGTTGAGCTTCGAGTACCGGATTCGTCGGAGGCGGAGGAGAGTCCACAGCGAAAGCTTGAGGGGTTAGTGAGGATGAGAAGAGGAGAGCAGCGAGTGTAGCCCGGGAAGAGAGGGATTTGAAGGAATCGGAATTGGTGAAGATGGCGCGGGAAGGTCGAGATTTTGGGGGGAAATGGAGTGGCGATTTGGCCGTTTTGGGAGTTGGGGGAAAAATTAGGATCTGGGTTCTGCCGAAGAAGGTGGAAGAGAGAAGAGGGTTGGCCGACGCCATTGTTGAGCTTCGAGTAGAGTGGGTTTCCTCGAGTTCTCTTCTTCTCCGTATATGTATTATCTCCTTTATACGTGATATCTCTTCGAAAAAAGGCGGAAGAGAGTAGAGGGTTGGAGTTTTGCTGGCGTGGACGCAGGGGAAACGAGGGCTTAACTACAAGTCTGAAACGAGAATTGCAGCCTTGATTTTTCTTTGATTACCCAGAAAACTTTGGAGATTAAACACGAGCCATGAAAATGGAAGTTTTACGTGTAAGCTTCATTATCCAATCGTTTCGTCGTCTACTTTTGTTCTTCCCGGCGGCGGTGATAACCTACCCGGCTTTTCACCGGCGGCTAAATCGGTCCAAGAACAGCACCAATGGGGCCATGAAGCGGTTATTCGTGTAGACCGCAATAAGTTCGTGGGGAGCCTCCACAGCCCATAGATTAAATCGGCAGGCCCAGTTAGTAATCTCTAGGGCTGGGAAACGGTGCGGTTTGGTCCAGACCAGACCATATATACGGTCTATGGTTCAGACCGAGAGGCTGAAGTATAGACCACAGACCAGACCACAGACTATACGATCCGGTCCAGACCACGCTTGTACGGTCTGGTTTGGTTTGGTCTGGTTCAGATAGACCACACTCAAAGAAAAATGAATAATTTGTTTAGTCAACCACACAAAAAATTGAACCAATAACCAAGAAAAATAATTGTTATTTGCCTTAAAACATTAATCCTAACATGCATGAATAATTTTGATATCCTAAATCTTAGAAATAACAAAAATACAAAGTAAAAGCATACAAACTTGCACCATAATGTTATACACATTAACATAATGTCATATGGAGACACGATTATCTCTACTCTCTGGTTAAATGTGGTTGTGAACGAAGGAGGGACGAGATTCTCAAAATTAAGGTTGATATTTGGGCGTCGTTGTGTGAGTTGGGAGGGTGATCGAATGGGCTATTAACACGTATTGACAAGTCGGTTGGGTCCGGTAAACCGCGGTCTAGACCAGACCAGACCAAGAGATCAAAACATAAAATAAACCAGACCATGGACCAGACCAGACCATACTTAACGATCTTCGGTCCAGACCAAACTGTGCGGTGCGGTTTGGACCACGGTTTTTCTAACGGTCTGGTCTATTTTCCCAGCCCTAGTAATCTCCATCGATTTAAAGCACTGAGATTCGAAAGACACGACCGTTTCTCCTAGATTGAAGTGAGTATGTTTCTTCCGTTGAAGCTCAGTAGCCGATTTGCTCCACTCCACATTATGCAATTTTTTGGATGAGTAATTGTTGTTAGTTATTTTTGCACCGTTAGGATTTTCTTGTTCCTGAGCTGATTTCTAGATAAGTTTGACTTGATAATTAGTGAATTCTGGTGCCTTTCGGCCGTAAATGGCATATATATGTTGAATATTAAAGTGGGTTGGGTTTGAATTTTCCAGCCGAAGAACTAACTGAAACATGCCATGCCTGGGGCTCAATCATCATCAGTGCTATTTATCAATTACATACTTGCGTCTCAACCATTTACTGAAAGAGGTTCTAGTGCGAATTCCTTTGAGAGAAATATTTCCTATAAAACTATAGCACCTTTAAAAAAAATTACAAAACTAGCACCCAGCCGAAAAATTTACACAAATAGCACCCTTTTTTTTTGGACCGCACCTCCAAGGTGCGTTTTATGTGTAAACCGCACCCTCTAGGTGCGTTTTATGTATAAACCGCACCTTGGAGGTGCGTTTTGCGCCACGTCAGACTGGGAACCACACCTTCAAGGTGCGGTCTGTGTTTCCACAAGAGCGGCCTTGGAGACCGCAGGATCCAGCTGCGATCCAGCGGCGAACCGCTTGCCACCTCAGCGATCCGCGCCATGAATCGCAGACCGCAGCCGCAGGGAGCGGTCAACCCTCGGGGAGCGTAAACGCGCCTGGAAGCTGCAGTTTTGACTGGGGCAAAATTACCAGACCGCCCCTGGAGGGTGCGGTCTGATGGGTATAAATACCCCCCTTCCCCTCTCATTTTTTCACACCACAAACCATTCTTCCTTCTCTCTCTAGAATTTATCTCTCTAAACCCTCCCCTCCCAAAAGCCTAGGAAATAGTGGTCTGTTGGTTGTGGCTAAGTCTGATATGCCATCAGAAAACATTTCTTAGGTTTTTTCCTCAAAATCCGCCGAGCCTAGCCGAATCTTTGTCCGAATTTCCCAAAAAAATGAGCGATTGGTGGCAAGGAGAGGGAGTTTATGTTGATGAATTTCTAGCGGTACGTACTCATTATTCTGGTTTAATTTTTGTTGTTGTTATAAGCTTTTTAATTAATCTATGTACTAACCTCGTTGTTATTTTCTTGTAGGTTGGGGACGACGTGGATATATACAACCAACGGTATTATCTCGAACAAGGACCGTTGGATCCAACCGACTTGTACGACCAACCCAATGTTTGGAATGATCACCCGGTACATACAATTCTTCACCATTTGTCTTTCTTTTATTTTGCTAATGTATTTAGTGGAATATAAAATAAATTTATGTTGAATTTTTAATCATGTTGGTTGTTTTCAATAATTTAATCGAATACATAGAGCCACTTACTTCGACTCTTTATAAAGAGATGCACGTCTAAGGAAATGGGGTTTTAAGCGATTATCTTATCCTCCCATTCCCTGGGAAAATCGGGTATTAAGAGATCCTCGGATTCCCCCTTTTTCTGTCAAAAAGACTACGTTTCTAAGAAGATGTATACCTCTTCTAAGAGTCTAACGAGTGTTGCTCTGTATTCGATTAAATTATTTAAAACAACCAATACGATTAAATTATTTACCAAACAACCAATACGATTTATTTTTATGTGTACAAAATGAATTTTATTAATTTCAAACATTTGAATATGTATGTTTCTCTTTAAATTATTATTCATTTACATTGTTATTTATGTTAATTAATTTAGTATGTTTGTTTTACGATAATATGTATGTATGATTTTAAATTATTATTCATTTAGAATGTTATTATGTTAATTAATTTAGGATGTTTGTTTTATGATAATATGTATGTATCTCTTTAAATTATTATTGATTTAGAATGTTATTATGTTAATTATATGAAAATGTATTTTTATGATAATAAAATTCTGCTTGAAGTTAAATAATTTAATTTAATTAATTTAGTTGTAAGAAAAAACCCTTACTAATATATAATAATTAACGTGTAAATTTTCGCTAGGAGGCACAAACAATACTCCGCTACAGGGGTACGACCAATGTGCTCCCATTCCACCCAGATATCTTGCCCTTTCTCAAAAGGGCACGGTTGGACCCGATTAGGCATTTTAACGGCATCAAAGTCGATCGCCAACTCATCACCGCATTGGTTGAGAGATGGAGAAAGGAGACCCATTGTTTCAACTTTAGAGAAGGAGAGGCCACCATCACGCTAAAGGATGTCGCCATCCTAACCCATCTGCCCATCGACGGCAAACTGGTGTGCGCGAGTGATCATCCACTCGAGGATTGTGACGGTATGCCCGGTTGAGTTCATTTCATCCACAGTGTTTTGGGAGTGAAAGTACTAGTCAAGGGGAGCATTGATGCGACCGATCGCTTGCCACCAATGAGGAAACACCAAATCTTAATTACTTGGTTGACGAAGTATTTTAGAGACCATTACGAGAGTCACCCCCTAACCGAGGAAAGTCCGGAGGATGAGAAGGAAAGATATGCTCGTGTCTATCTCATAGGCATGATCGGAGGAGTGTTCTTCTCCAAAAAATCAAGCAATCTCCTTAGCTGTGGATGGCTTAGGATCATCCTCGGTAGTTGGGAGGAGATGGGGGAGTATAGCTGGGCATCCGCTTGCCTAGCTAATATCTACCACAATTTGTGCAATGCATCTCTAAAAGCTGTGAGGGAGGTCGGCGACGCAATGTTCATCGTCCAATTTTGGGCTTGGGAGCATATGCCATGGATTGCACCGGTCCAACGTACCGACAGGGATTGGCCAATCGCATCCCCTAAGAGGTGAAGCTTATGGTACAAGGTAAACTTCTCATACCCCATCATGTTTTTCATAACACATTTTCCCTTGTGTTTTAGCTTATTGTAGTTTCATTATTGTCTTATTAATAAGGTGGCTCGGACACACAACATGCGACAACCTTGCCCAACACAAGTTGGACGAGTATCGGAGGAGGTTTGAGAAACTTTGGGAAGGAGAGGTAACTTCTATACTTCTATCCATTTATATCTTTGTTCCATGGACTACATGTATTTTTCCAATTCTGATAAACTTAAGTTACTCATTTCTTTCTTGTAGATCGTCTTCGATCCATACCCGGAGATATCCGCCCATGCCCGCACCCCCGCCACCTCCAACACAAGTTGATGTCCCCGAGCCCCCACCACCATACGAGAGAAAGAAGAGCAAGAGGGTTCGGGACAGGCCCAACGTGCCCGACGTAACGCCATATCAGGCGTGGAAAGTGCCGCCCCCATTGGTTGTGACACATGGTGCCGGCCCGTCTTCCACCCAAGCTCCTCGCCCGAGTTCCCCCCAAGGTGCCGGCCCGAGTTCCACCCAAGCTCCCCCCGCCCGAGTTCATCCCAAGAGCACCGCCCCTCCTACCACAACGATCCCCACCCAAGCTCATACTATGATCCCCGCTCGACCTACCATCAATGCTCTCCTAGTCTCCATCAATCCCCATACGATACCCGCCCGGTTTACCCCCCATCTCCCTGCCAAACATACTACGATCACCGTCCGGTCTACCCCCCATCTCCCCGCCAAACATACTACGATTCCAGCCCGGTCTACCCCCAAGATCCCCCTACATCATCGGGTACTTGGCATGATGGTTCCACCACGACGGCGTCCCATGAATTCAACCCATTGACTCGCCCTCATCAGCCGTGGCCTCCTACTCCTCACCGTATGAGCGCGAATGTCCCCCGCTCGACCCCGGAAGCGCCGCTTCCCCACCGACACAGCATCGATGAGCGCCACACTACCTCGGCCATTCGAAACTTGCCACCGCAACCACCTGTTGTTACTCCCGTCGGCCGTCGTACAAGGAGCAAGAAAACCGTCAATTCTGGTGAAGCTCGTGGACTTCCTTGAGATGTATTTTGAGTTGAATTTTAATTATATGTACTTGGAACTAATCCTCTTATATTAGTTTATTTAATTGAGTGTTGTTTCAATTTGGTTTTAATTATATGTACTTGGAACTATTCCTCTTATCTTAGTTTCGTCAGATATTAATTCCTTCTTTTCCCGATCGTGCCAGATACGCATTTCTATATTTATTTATTTTGAAGTTCTCTAACTATATCATGATTTCCAGAAATTTTCGTTTCTTTAATTG